CCCCAGGTCAGCCTCAGCGAGGCCCAAGAGGGCCCGAGATGGCTTGAAGATGGCCGAAGAGGGCCCCGAGAGGGCCCTCAAGAGGCAAAAAGCAGCTGGTCCCCGTAGTAAAACGTACAGATTCAGCATACTCCCTTGCTTCGTCTTCGCAGTGCCCCAGATGCCCCCGAGGAGCCCAAAGACAGCCCAAGAAAGACCCAAGTGGGCCCAAGACGGCCCAAAAGGGTCGTCCTGTGGGGCTGACGGAACTCCCCAAGACGGCCCAAGAGGCCCCGAAGCCGGCCCGGGAGGCCCCCAAGACGGCCTCAGGGAGACCCAAGAGGGCCCCGTTCGAAATCATGTTCCCGGAAGCCTCTCCGGGAACATGATTCCCGGGTTCCCAGGACGCCCACAGACAGCCCACAGAGGCCCCGGACACGCCGAAGATGGCCTCAGGACGGCCGACGACGCCGCCAAAACGCCCTAAGAGCGCCTCCAGAGGCCCAAGGGCCCCAGAAGCCGAAAATCATAAATTTCCCAATGGTTTTGAAGCATTCTTGCTCTCTCCCATGTTCCGCCTCCCCACGGTCCTGGACCGCGTCAGAGGCCCTTCAGATCGCTCCAAGACGGCCGAAGAGGCTCCCAAGAAAGCCCAGAGACGGCCCAGGAGGTCCCCCAGATAAGTCAAGAGGGCTTCGAGAGCGCCCCAAGAGAGCCCCAAGAGCGACCCAAGAGGGCCCGAAGAGCGCGACATTTCGAGGTCTCCGGCCTGAGAGGCTCTTAGGACGCCCCCGGAGGCCATCAAGAGGCTCCCAATAAGCCCCGTGAGGCTCCCAAGAGGCCCCCCTGAAGCCCCAATAGGCCCCCAAGGGACCCCCAGGGAAGCCCCCTGCGGGCCCCCAAGACACTTCGGTAAATCGTATTTCCCAGATAATCAGCTTTCCGGGAACATGATTATTTGGGCTTCCGCCGACCGCCCCAACCATGTTTCCAATAGGCTTGCCGACAAGGCCAAAAAGCGCCCCTCGATAAGCCCCCAGAGGCCCCCCTCTTAGAGAGCCGAACAAATCATGCTCCCGGAAAGCTTCCCGGGAACATGATTCTCTATCTCGGAGTAGGCCTCGGGGTGGGGGCGGGCGGGCCGCTGCCTGTTCCCCCCATCGGTGCCCACCAAGGGTTGCGGGGGAGGGTCCAGAGCTCCCGAGGCGGCCCGAGCCCGCCCCGAAGCAGGCCACGACAGGCTAAGGAGGTCCCGAGAGGACCCAAGACGGTCCCACGAGGCCCCGAAGACACCCAAGATGCCCTTAAGACAGCCGACGAGGACTCCAACACGCTCCAGGACGGACTCAAGAGGCTCCCCAAGAGGGCCCTGGAAGGCAAGATTCACTCGTTTTCCAAGTGTTTTGGATTTTGGCGTTCTCGCTTTTCCCGCTTTCCAGCGCTGCCTCACGGCTTCGGAGACGTTTCAGGTCGCTCCAAGAAGGCCCTCGAGGCCCCGACGAGGGCCCCAAGACGGCCCAGGATGCTCCCCAGACAACCCAAGTGTGCCCCAAGAGCGCGCTAAGAGAAGGCCCAGAGGGGTCCCGAGGCGGCCCGGGCTTGCCTCGAAGCAGGCCACGACAAGCTAATGGAGGTCCCGAGAGGGCCCTAGACGGTCCCAAGAGGCCCCGAAGACGCCCAAGCTGCCCTCAAGACGGCCGACGAGGACTCCAACACGCTCCAGGACGGACTCAAGAGGCTCCCCAAGAGGGCCCTGGGAGGCAATATTCACTCGTTTTCCGGTGGTTTTTGAAGGATTTAGGCGTTCTCGCTTTCCCCGCTTCCCAGGGCTACCTCACGGCCTCGGAGGCACTTCAGATCGCTCCAAGACGGGCCACGAGGCCCCGAAGAGGGCCCCAAGACAGCCCAGGATGCTCCCCAGACAACCCAACTGCGCCCCAAGAGCTCCCTAAGAAAGGGCCCAGAGGGGGACCGAAGAGCGCGACATTTCGATGTCTCTGGCCCTAAAGGCCGCCTGTAGGCCCCCAGGCGCCACCAAGAGGCTCCCACGAAGCCCCGTGAGGCACCCAAGAGGCCCCCAGGAAGCCCCAAGAGACCCCCAAGGGGCTCCCAGGGAACGCCCAAGAGGCCCCCCAACACACCCCAAGAAATCATGTTCCCAGAAAACCTTCTGGGGACATGGTTCATCATGGGCCCGAGAGTTCCCGGAGCCCCCCAAGGGGCTCCCAGGGAAATCCCAAGAGACCCCCCAACACACCCCAACAAACCATGTCCCCAGAAAGCCTTCCGGGGACATGGTTCATCATGGGCCCGCGAGTCTCCGGAAGCTTCGAAGTACCATCATGCTACAGGAGAGCTGTCTGGGAAGTTGATTGGGAACATGACTGATCGCCTTCTCGCGGCCCTCCGCAGATCGTTTCGCACAAAGTTGCCCCAAGTGCCGTCCTGAATCGACAACGACCACGACGAAACGACGAAGACGACGACGACGACGACGACGACGACGACGACGACGACGACCACGACCACGACGACGACGACAACGACGACGGCGCGCCCCAATAAGCGACGACGACATTACGACGACGACGACGACGACGACGACGACGACGACGACGACGACGACGACGACGACGACGACGACGACGACGACGACGACGGCACGCCCCAACAGGCTCCCCAAGACGCCCCAAACACATGCTCCCAGAAGGCCTTCTGGAAACCCGATTCATACGGCCTCCGCCCCCCTACACAACCATTCCTCGAAGGCCTTTCGGTCCAAATTGGCATGCTTGGACTGTGGTCCACTACTTCAGTGGAGCAGTGAATTCGTCGATGCCGGGGGCCTGCTAAAACCTAAGCGCGCGCGAAGCGCGCGCGATGGTTCTAGTTTATATACATAGATTTGTGTGTATATATATATACACATGTATATGTGCCCCCCTCCACAAGAGGCCCCCTGAGGCACCCAAGACGCCCCAAGAGCCTCGGCGAGATGGCCAAAAACTGATTCTACGCAGGTGTGGGCCACCTCTTGGCCCCTCCTGGGTGGGGGGGGCTCACTTCTGTCCTGGGTCCGACCGCAGGCATGCCGGTTCGGAGGTCGGCCTGCCTCGAAGCCGAGGCAGCATGCACGAGCACCCGAAGGTCCGCGCGGATGCCTTGGGGTCGGCGCTGGGCCCGCCCTCTGCGGTGCCTCTGGCGTCGCCCCACTTGGCGCTGATGCGCACGGTGGTGCCGTGTCGCTTGGGCGCACCGGTGCGTCAGGTTCGTCGGGTGGCCGACGCAAGAAAAACGGGGTCCTTTGCGCCAACATTGGCGCGCAAGCTGCCTGCGTAAGGTCGCGCGAATGCGCCCTCGTCTCCAGCGCAGCGTGCCGCGCTGGCGGCCCGCGTAAGCTGCCGCGTGAGGTCGCTGCGCCACCTTGCGTGAGACCCGTTTTCGATCGTCGCTCAGGTGTAGCAGTACACGCGGGTCGTTGAGAGTAGGTCTTTCTGAGATTCCCAGATCCCGATCTATTGCAAGCGCCTTCCTGCGTCAAGAACCGATGTGCTCTTGCGGTGTTGTTCTGTTCTTCAAGCGGACCCCAATCCGATCTACTTGATCTGCCGTCCTACTTCACGTGTTTTACCTACTTGTTCCTACCGACGAGTAGTTCTTGCCCTACACAGGCTCCCATTCCATCAGGTCGAGTAACACAGATTGCCAGGAGCGTGCTGCGTGCCCCATGTGTTGATGCTCGCATGCAGTGACAAGTTGGGGAGACATGACGGTATGTTCGGATTCATCGCGTTTTGGGTAAGTGGATCGAGTCGTTGACTGCAGAAGTTCCTCCTCCTCCTCCTCCTCAGCCTCCTGCTCCTTCTCATCTTTATCACGCTCCTCCTCCTCCTCCACCTCCTCCTCTTCCTCTTCCTCCCTCGTCCTGCTCGTCCACGTCATGGTCCTGATCGTTGTGGTCGTTTTCCTCCTCAGCCGCATCCTCCTCTTCCCTACTCCTCCCCCTCCTCCATTCCACAATGGTGAGGAGGCTGCCTGTTTGAAGTGGAGGCCGCGCGGCAGGGGGAAAGTGCGGGAAGGAGAGGTTGCAGGAAGAGAGGTGGGGGATCGGGGAAGGCGGAAGTGGAGGGGGGGTCAATTATTCGACCACACGTAAGAGCGATTTTGCAGCAGCTTGCGTGCTTGAATTGGGCCCCGCTTGCCCTCCTGAAGCGCCGCACCAGAGGTCACTCGTGCATAGGTTCACTCGTGCGAGTAGCGGAGGGGGGCGGCAATGACGCATCAGAAGGGGTGGGAGATGATCGGCCACGCGCAGAGGGGGGGGAGGGGGAGGGGGGAAGGCTTCTTAGAAGCAGCCTCCTTCTAAGAAGCCTTCCCCCCTCCACCTACCCCCTTGTGCGCGCCGCCAAGATGAGAGGATGGCGAGGAAGAGCGAGAGGAATAATTACGGCAGCAGAGGACGGGGGGGCCCGCCTTGTCGCCCCACTCGGCCAGCGAGGCCCAAGCGGCCTTCCAGGCGCTCGCCAGAAGGGTGTGGAGTTACCAGGACGCCAGGGCTTGGTGTCAACGCGGGGCGGCAGAGGAGGAGGAGGAGGAGGAGGAGGAGGAGGAGGAGGAGGAGGAGGAGGAGGAGAAGGTGGTGGAGGAGGAGAAGCGGGAGCCATGGGGCGACAGAGGATGAGCAGGACAGAGCACGAGCAGGACGCCGGGTCAGGACGACGACCCGCAGCGGCAGGGGAGGAGGAGCGGGAGCAGGCTGTAACGGCGGAGTTTCTTTTTTCTCCTCCGCGAACCCCAGGCTTCGCCTTTTGGGCGGTGAGGGGGCTGGCCTTTGGCCTCCCCGCCCCCGGACGGCGTCGAGGGCGCGAAAGGGGCAGGAGCAGGAGCGGCAGGAGGAGGTGCAGCGGCCTGCTGATTGCAGCCACGACTAGCTCGGGCCTCTGGGGGACGTTCGTGAGCAAGCCTGCTCCTCGCCTCCCTGCACCATCCTCTCCTCTGGAGTCCCTGGAATCCCCGGCAAGGGCGACCCTGGAACTCTAGAGGCCAAGCTTGCCCAGGAGAAGCGCCTGCTCAGACATCGCTGGAAGTCTGCGAGGATGAGGTGTCGAGTTTGTCTTCCCTGGTAAAGGCTCCGGCACGTGGTGACCTACAGTTTTCTACCGGGCCAATGGCCCCAGACTCGGTGATCCTCAGGACGTGTGTTAGCCCAACGTGCGTTGGCCCCGCCGCCCGTGTCGGCCTTCATCCTTCTACACCGCCTTCGTCGTATCGAAGGCCTTCGGTGCACGAGCACACGTCGGCGCACGAGCACACATTATGAGGATCATCGACACAGACTGGAGCCCGAAGCCCGATCCTTCTGCGGAGCCAGCCCGGGCGAAACCGCCTGGCGTGACAAAAATCAGGCCGTGCATCCTGGCCCCACCTCTCGCGAACCGCCCCCCACACACACACACCACACACACGCACACACGCACACACACACACCACACACACACACACCACACACACACCACACAACACACAACACACAACACACAACACACAACACACAACACACAACACACAACACACAACACACAAAACACACACACAACACACACAACACACACAACACACACACACACACAACACACACACACACACAACACACACACACACACACACACACACACACACTCATACACATCTGCACACACACACACACCCCTCCGGGCAGTGCCAAGTGGATCTACCACTCGGGGGGTCGCCACACCTCCTCCCGGCAGGCGAGGACCGAGGAGGAGGGAGCATCGAGGATCGAGGAGGCGTTTGACGGTGGCTGGCGCCTCTGGGGGGGCCCTGGGGGGTCCCCGGCGGGCTCTGCTTCCTGGGGGAGGTGGCGCCCCCCCGCCGTGGTGACCCCCCACTGGCACTGCCTGGGCCTCCAGGAGCGGGACATGTCGGCCCTGCGGGGCGACGTGTCGCGCGTGCGGGAGGCCCTCTCGGAGCTGCACGCGCGGGCGGGCCCATCTTGCCGGCCAGGGGCGGGAAGAGGGCGAGGATCGAGCCTCGCGGGCCGGGGCGTTTGTGTCAGACCCCCCGCCCTAAAGGGTGGGATTGTCAGGCTTGGACGGGGCATTTGTGTCCAATTACCCGCCCGAAAGGCTGGGAGTGCCGGGCTTGGAGGAAAAAGGCAGAGCTCCAGACCCGCCTCGCGCACCCTGCACACCGCGACATCCGGGCCCTGAGGGCCCTGGTGCTCTGTTGGTACCCCGCCTCGCCTTTTCGACGAACGGCGACTGCACAGCGCGGCCGCCAGGCCCCGAGGGGGCCCGCGCTCCCTGTGGATCCCGCCTTTTGCTCTCTTGGCATCGCTCGGACGTGTGATTTTTTCCAGAGGGAACCATCGAGGACCATCCTGGACCATCGAGCAACAAAGAACACGCACGAAACCGACAAATGCACGGGAAATGGACGTCCGAGCGACGGCAAGCTCTCGGGTGGGGATCGTTCGACACGCGAGTATTAGCTTGCTTCTTCTTTGGGGCGCGTTCGTGCTCCCAGGAGCGGCCTTCAAAGTTCTGGCCAGAAGAGATAACAGGCGAAGTCTGGAGGTTCGATTTCGAGGAGGCGGGCCAAGGCCTCGAACATCCTGAAGGAGCATCGGCGGGTTGTTTGTCCCCGTGTTCGGCCTCTGGAGGAAACGGCTCGCGGTGAACAGCGTGTCCATGGGGAGGAGTCAGAGGTTCCAGGAAATCGGCGGCTCCAACAAAAGGGATCGTCGGCAGCCTATCGATAGGAGGGAGGAGGGCACGTAAGAGGGAGGGCCTGTCTTGAAATTCGCCGTCTCTGCGGGAGCAACTCTGGCGGAGCGTCCACACGTCGTGTGATACACGATTTTGGGAAAGACGCGAACTTGACTACACCTTAGGCGATGCTTAAGAAAACTTAAGTTTTCGGCCAGAGTCTCGATTATTCTTAACGTTTCAGTGTAAATCTTAAGTTGTTAATAGAAATGTTGGGTTTTTGTTCAAGATCTGAGACTATGAATTTCTTAACCCATGATTTCTTAAGCATTTCGCGGGGTGTAGAGCATGAGTCCGATCGCCAGTGCCAGAGGTGTTTTAATTTGCAGAACAGGCCCTCAAGATTTGAAGCCAAGGTGCAAGCATGTGCGGCCCTGCCCTGCGGAGTGTGAGTTTGCACACACACGGTTTGTTGCGAAGGTCTCTCCTGGGCTATTGGCCACAAGTAGTCTTATGCGTGTGGGCGCTGGCTCGAAAGCGTGCGCTACGGGTTGCCAACGTTGGCTCGGTTGTATCTGGAATCACGTGTTGCGCGTTGTTGTTTGTTGGTTGACCGCGGACCTTTCAATCCCAAGCAGCAGTGACGTTCACGGTCGGTTGGGGTCAGGTACAGAGAGTTCGGGCAACGTGGCCAGGTTCCGATCGACCATGTTGTCCGCAATCTCGCACTTGCCAGTCACTTATAGCAGACCATGACGGGAGATTATCTTGATCATTGCAAACGTTTGCGGTCATGTTTCCATGTGTATTAAGTTCCTTTCTCTCGTTGTTCACCAGTTGCGACAGTTATAGTTATTGTTGTCTTGGCACCCGTTGGTGGCGCTCCCTCTTCGAACCCCCTTGCGGAGCGCCTCGGTTGGCTCGGGCCCATCCCCAGACCCGCCCCGTCCTTCCAGCGGGCAAGGAGACGCAGTCGACCCAGCTTTACTCTTCAACCGCTGCTCTTGCCCAATCCATCGTACGACCTGATCCACCACCTCCCCCTCGTTCTCCTTGCTCCTTTCTGACACTTCTGGGGAAAAGGGCAGACACAATACATGGGAGGAGAAGATGGAGCAAGAGGGCGAGGAGGGAGGAGAGGAGGAAGAGGAGAACGAAGAGCACGGAGGAGGAGCAGCTGCAGAGAGGAGCCATTTCCGCAACGCCGTCGTCTTCCTTCCCCCCATGCTTCCTGTTACACTTCTAGACTCCTCCCTCCCCCCCTGCTCCCCACGCCTCCTCCCCTGGCGGCGCAGGCCGCTGTGCCTGGGCGGAAGGCGTGTCAGTTTGAAGGTCGCTCGAACGAAGTTCTCGGATGCCGCAGCGGTGGTCACCTGGTAGGCGTGGAGCACCCCTCGAACTCCGGGCGCGCAGCTCCAGTTCCAGCTCCTCCTCCCGCTCCAGCTCCAGTTCCGATGCAAGTTCTCTGCTTTCCTCGTGCCGCCTATCCTCCACCCCTGCAGTCGTGCCAGTCCTCGATGATCCCTTTGTCCTCAACAGCAACCACGCGACTCAAACCAGCAAGCGCGAGGTCCCTGAGTTTGCTCCATGAATCGTGCAACCGATGATGTTTGAAACCGAACGGGCGAAGAACGGGGTAGACGGAAGAGGAGGAGGAGTGCGAGGAGGAGGAGGAGGAGGAGGAAGAGCGGAAGCGAAAGAGAGGGCAGCGCGGTTGCAAACAAGCCAACACATTCCCCCTTCCTAATTAACAAATGCCAATATTTCTCGTTCCGGCCGCCCTCTCTGCCCCTGTTTTTTCTGCGTCTCCTGCTTCGGCCTCTTTCTCCCTTGTTCTGGTTCTCTTGTTTCGGCACGCTGTCGTCGTCGTCCTCCTCCTCCTCATCATCATCATCATCATCATCAGCAGCATCATCATCCCCTTCCTGTCCTGGAGAAGCGTCACCAGTTTTGACGTCAGCACCAGCTCCAGAGGCGTGCGCCGTCGAGGGAAGGTTGTAGGCCGGCAGCTCTCCATCAGCGAGCAGCTGTTATTGTTGTATGCACCCCCGTGCCGCGGTGCCACTGCTAGAGCTGCGCGTACCGCCAGCAGCGGCAGCAGTCCTAGCGTTCCCCTTGAAGCAGTGAAGCCCCCCCCTGAGAGAGAGAGAGAGAAAGAGAAAGGAAGAAAGAAAAACACCAGCTCCGTGGCGACCGAAGGTAGATAGTATTGCTAAGATCGACGCAATAGCAGCAGCAGCAGCAGCAGCAGCAGCAGCTCATGCTCCTCTTCCTCCTCCAGCGGCACCGCGGGTCCATGGACCGGAGGCGCACAGTGATCGGTAGCCAGCAGACCTCCTCGCCGACCTTCAAACGGGGCGGCTCCCCGCTCCTCTTTCCTCCCCCTCGTCCTCCTCCTCCTCGTCCTCCTCGTCCTCCTCGTCGTCCTTCTCCTCGTCCTCCTCGTCCTCCTCGTCTTCCTCCTTCTCCTCCCCCTCCTCCTCGTCCTCCTCCTCGTCCTCCTCGTCGTCCTCCTCCTCCTCGTCCTCCTCCTCCTCCTCCTCATCATCATCATCCTTCTTCTCCTCCTCCTCCTCCTCCTCCTCCTCCTCCTCCTCCCCCTCCTCCTCCTCCCCCGCATCCCTTTCCTCCTCCGCCTCCGCTTCCTCTCCTCCTCCTCCTCCTACTCGTCCTCCTCCTCCTCGCTCCTCTTCGTCTCCTCCCCCTCCTCCTCCTCCTCCTCCTCCTCCTTCTCCTTCTGCTCTCTTACTGTTCCCAAGCATCTTCTGTGCTGTATATGCAAGTGGCCAGATGTATGAGTGTATGTATGTATGCATGTATGTATGTATTCATGGACGCATGTATGTATGTGTGCACGTGTGTGTGTGATATGTTTGTGTGCGTGTATGCATGAATATATAGAAGTATGTACGAACGCATGTATGACGACTGTATGTACGTATGTATGCATGCATGTGTATATATGGGTGTATGTATGCATGCATGTAAATGTGTGAATTTGTATGTATGTGTGTATGTATGTGTATGTATGTATGTATGTATGTATGTATGGATGGATGGATGGATGGATGGATGGATGGATGTGTGTATGTATGATTGTAGGTAGGTGTAGATCTGTGTATGTATGTATGTATGCATGTATGTCTGGGTACACGTATGCATGTATGTGTATGCGTGTATGGATGCATGGTTGTGTGTACGTATGGTTGCATGCGTATGGAACTGTGTATGCGTGTACGCATGGATGCATTCATGGATGGACGGCTGGATGTATGGATGTGTGTGTGTATGTATGTATGTATGTATGTATGTATGTATGTATGTATGTATGTGTATGTATGTATGTATGTATGTATGTATGTATGTATGTATGTAGGTAGGTAGGTATGTATGTATGTATGTATGTGTGTACGAGTGTGTGTTTGTGTGCGTGTATATGTATGTATGTGTATGTTGGCATGGGCATGCGTGTGTGTATGCATGCATGCAAGTTCGCATGAATGTGTGTATGCATGTGTATGGGTATGTGTATGTGTAGGCGTATGTAAGCATACATGCGTGAATGTGTACATATGCGTGTAGGAATGTATGTATGTACGTACGTACGTACGTACGTACGTACGTATGTATGTATGTATGTATGTATGTATGTATGTATGTATGTATGTATGTATGTATGTGTGAGTGCGTGTACACATATAACGGCGCACCGGGTCCGGGGGCCCGGGGCCGGGACCCCGACCACAAATGTGGGCCCCGGGGGGCCCGGAGGCTCGTCGGACCGCCGGACGCCGTCCAAGATCGTTCGCAGGCGGCTTCGGAACGCGCTCCGATGGCTCCAGATGCCTTCCAAGACGCCTGTCATGACACCAAGAAGGTCCCAGAAGCCTCCAAGACGCTCCGAGAGGCAGCCCAAGAGAGGCCCAAGAAGCAAAAATCGTGCCATTCCATGGGAAAACGTATATTTGTCGCATGTTCGCCTCTTGGGCTTTCACCGCGTCCAAGACGGCCCAAGAGGCGCCCAAGACGGTCTACGAGGCCTCCGGGAGCGCTCCAAGGCTGCGCACGAGTGGCCCAGGACGGCCCCAAGACGGCCGAAGAGAGCCCCAAGACGAGTTCGAGAGGGGTCCCAGACGGAGAAAGCCAACCTCGAATTCCGAGCTTCCGGCCCAAGAGGCTCCAGGAGGCGCCAAAATGCCGCCAAGAGGCGCCAAAAGGCTCCCAAAAGCACCCCAAGACGTTCCGAGAGGCACCCCAAGAGAGGTCCAAGAAACAAAAATCGTGCCATTCCTATGGGAAAACGTATATTTTTCGCATGTTCGCATCTTGGGCTTTCACCGCGTCCAAGACGGCCCAAGAGGCCTCCAAGACGGCCTAGGAGGCCTCCGGGAGCGCTCCAAGGCTGCGCACGAGTGGCTCAGGACGGCCCCAAGACGGCCCAAGAGAACCCCAAGACGACTTCGAGAGGGGTCCCAGAAGGAGAAAGCCACTCTCGAATTCCGAGCTTCCGGCCCAACATATCCCAGGAGGCGCCAAAACGCCGCCCAGAGGCGCCAAAAGGCTTCCAAAATCAGCCCAAGACGTTCCGAGAGGCACCCCAAGAGAGGTCCAAGAAACAAAAATCGTGCCATTCCTATGGGAAACGTATATTTTTCGCATGTTCGCATCTTGGGCTTTCACCGCGTCCAAGACGGCCCAAGAGGCCTCCAAGACCGCCCCAAGACGGCCCAAGAAGCTTCCAAGAGGGCCCCAGGACAGCCCAAGAGGGCCCCAAGACGGCCCAAGAGGCGCCCAAGATGGCCCAAGAGGGCCCCAAGACGGGCCCAAGAGGGGGCCCAGAGGGGGACCACGAACCGCAAGCTCGAGCCTTCCGCCCCAAGAGGCCGCCAGGAGGCCCCAAGGAGGCCCCTCAAGAGGCCCCAGGAGACCCCCAAGAGGCCCAAAGGAGGCCCCGAGAAGCCCCAAATCGGCCCCCAAAATGCTTCGAACCTGCTTCCAGGAGGCCCCCGACAGGTTCAGAGGCTCCCGAGAAGCTACGTCAAACTCCCAGCGAGCGGCCGGACGAGGCCCCCCACAAAATCACAAGAGGGTTCCAGTATTTGTATCCTTCAGCGCTCTCTGGCCTTCTTCCCCCTGCCCCCTTCCCTGCGACTTTCGTTGACTCAAGCTCGCCTCCTAGCTAGAACCTAAGCGCGCGCGAAGCGCGCGCGTGGTTCTAGTATGTATGTATGTGTGTATGCACGTATATCTTGGTGAACGCATGTAAGTATGTATGTATGTGTATATATGTATGTATGGATGAATGTATGTATGTATGCATGCATGTATGTATGTATGAGTGTTTGTGTGTATGTGTGTACGTATGTATGCAAACATGCATGCATGTGTACGTGTATGTATGTGTGTATGTATGTTTGCATGCATGCATGCATGCATGTATGTATGTGTGTATGTGTGTATGTGTATATATGTATGTCAGAGTGAGGGGGCCGAACGGTCATTCATTGTCCCTGGGTGCGTGGCTGAAGTGAGATTCCGCGGTGCGGATTCGTGTTGTTGTTGTTTGTTGTTGTTGTTGTTGTTGTTGTTGTTGTTGTTGTTGTTGTTGTTGTTGTTGTTGTTGTTGTTTTTGTTGTTGTTGTTGTTGTTGTTGTTGTTGGTGTTGTTGTTGTTGTTGTTGTTGTTCTTGTTGTTGTTGTTGTTGTTGTTGTTGTTTGGTGTTGTTTGTTGTCGTCGTCCCACCCGCAACCTGCCCCGCGACCCACCCGCGACCCACCCCGCGACCCACCCGCGACCCACCCGCGACCCACCCGCGACCCACCCGCGACCCACCCCGCGACCCACCCCGCGACCCACCCTGCGACCCACCCGCGACCCACCCGCGACCCACCCGCGCGACCCACCCCGCGACCCACCCGCGACCCACCCGCGACCCACCCGCGACCCACCCCGCGGCCCGCGCGACCCACCCGCGACCCACCCGCGACCCACCCCGCGACCCGCCCGCGGCCCACCCCGCGACCCACCCGCGACCCGCCCGCGACCCACCCGCGACCCACCCGCGACCCACCCGCGACTCACCCCGCGACCCACCCGCGACCCACCTTCGACCCAAACCACGTTCAAGGTACAAACCAACATTTTCGGCGCCTGCGGCGGGCTTTTTTTGCATTCCTTCCAGGTGGAGAGCCCGCGACCCACCCCGCGATCAACTCGCGACCAACCCGCGACCCAAACCACGTTCAGGGTACAAACCACATTTTTCGGCGCCTGCGGCGGGCATCTTTTGAATCGTTCTAGGTGGAGAGACCGCGGCCCACCCGCGACCACGTTCAGGGTACAAACCAATTTTTTCGGCGCCTGCGGCGAGCATCTTTTGCATTCGTTCCCGGTGGAGAACCCGCGGCCCACCCGCGACCCAAACCACGTTCAGTGTACAAACCAATTTTTGCGGCGCCTGCGGCGGGCTGCTTTTGCAGGAGGACGAGGAGGGGGAGGAGGAGGAGGAGGAGGAGGAGGAGGAGGAGGAGGAGGAGGAGGAGGAGCAGCAGGAGGAGGAGGAGGAGGAGGAGCAGCAGGAGGAGGAGGAGGAGGAGGGAGGGGACGACGACGATGACGTCGACGACGTTCCACGTTCCACGCCGGTGCGAGCGCTCGTCAGTTCGGGCGCTGGCCGCGAGACACCGAGAGGCATGCCTCTCAACAAAAAAGAAAGGGCAGGCGCTCAGCGCAGCACCGCCCGCAAGGAAACCACGAGCCCCTGAAAGGGGCAAGCAGGCAGCGGGCTAACCCCCAGGATCAGCCCACCCTTGCTCGCCACTATCGGGGCTCGCGCCCTGCACTGACACGGTCCAGGAACCACCGCTGGTCCTTGGACATGCGTCCCGTGCAGGCCTGGAGCAGGGCGCGCCAGCTCGGCGCCTCAACCAGCGCGTGGGCCCCACAACGCTGACAGATCAGGTAGCGGCCAACTGCCGCTACCTGGTGCTGCAGGAAATGGAAGACCGACGGCGGGGCGACAGCCTCGCCCTGCTCGCCCTCGAAGCCGAGGGCCTGCCACGCTCGACGCACCGCCTCGCCACGCGCCCTAGGGAGGACGCCACCGTGGCGGTGATGTCGGACCGCAGCTAAAAACAAGTGCAGATCGGTCGGCCTGCAGACTGCGCCAGGCCGCTCCAGCTTGGCGCGGCCACCAGCCGACTTCGCGATACTGTGGCACCACGTGCAGCGCACACCTCCAGACGGGACCGTTTCGAGGTCGTGGGCCATCAAGGCCAGAGGAGGGGCCGTGGTGTTTCTCGGCCTGGCAGGCGGCCTCGGCTCGGGGACCGAAGACGCGGCCACGAATTGGGCCGCCCGCGAAATGAAATCCAGATTCAGCTTGGCCTCGCTGAGGCCAACTCTGACTGTTTCGACCGCGCTCTCAGCCGCACGGATCTGAGCAGCCCCCAGCTTCGCGAAAAAGTCCGCCCATCCGTTCCCAAGGAGATCGGACTCACGCGAAACACCAGCCCCATCAAAAGACCACTGGCCCTCCAAAATCTCGTCCAGATCTCCATGGGCGGGGGTCCAACGGAAGGAAGGTCTCTCCTTCGTTCCGACGATTTTAAAAATTTGCCTCCAGACCGACGCGTGCTTGTACGCTCCCGTCGCCAAGGCTGGATCCCAGCTGTTGCCCTCGGTCACCGCCGAGCGGTGGTCCGAGACTAATTCAGCTCCAGGGGGGACCACCTTCAAAGCTTCCAAGAGGGCCTGCCGTTCGGCTCGTGGCACCGTCTGGCACCGTCCCGCGAGGCCTCCATACAGGGCCCTGATCGGCCATCCACGGGCCGACATCTCAACGACCGCCCAGCCGCAGCGGGCCATCTCGGGGACCCCGTTGGCGTGGCCAGAGCCGTCGGTGTAGACTCGTTTTCCCCAAGGAAGGTGGGTGGCCCCCCAAGAAAAAACAGGCAGCACGTTCGGGACGGGCTCCAACACCACAGGCTGAAACGGCAACCCGTAACCCAACTCAACCACATCGAAGTCGGGGGGGATTCCTCGAGCCGAGTCCTTGAGCAGCTGCCTTCGCTTGAAACTTCCCTCTGGCAACGCAGGGCCTGCCTCTGGGGCGTCGCCCTGGCGCCAGAGCTCTTCACATTCGTACCAGTGATGACCGAAAGTGCCTATTTGCTGCTTGCAAAACTGACAGAGGTTAGAATCGGCAAGTCCGTGTCTAAATTTCCGAGCTGGCGGCCAGAGCCCCCCTCCTAGCAAGGCCTTCAGAGTCGCGCGCCTCTTAGGTTCCCTCACAGAGTTCACCGCGACCCGAAGCGCACGACCCCAAACAATCTCCTCGCCAGAAGCTTCGGGGATGGCCGACACAAGCTGAATCATCTGCGCCCTGTTAATGCCCTCGATGAGCTGGCGTTTTAAATCCCAAGGCGAAACATGGCAAAGCGACAAAACAACTCCCTGGTCGGTCCGAATATGGGTCGGTCCCACAAGGGCCCAGCCAACGCGCAACCAGCTCAAAAAGACGGCTCCCACGGGGCCTCGAACCTCCCTCCAGAGCGGTCGATGGGCCAGCCGTAAGGCCGCCGCGTTCCACGCATGCCAAAGATCTACATCACTAGCACGACGGTCCCAGATCCAGCAGCAGTACCGAAAAACAAGAGGCACTGTTGCGTCGACCAACGGGTCATAGTTCTCATCTCGATGCGTACTGAGAAACGCCGTGACGTGCATGCGGCCTCGGGCTCCTGCGAGCTCGGCCGCCACAGCCCGCAGGCTCCTGAGGACCTGGTCCGAGACCCCAGACACCGCGGCACCATGGGCCCCACAGGGCATGAGCCCCGTCCGCCAGAGCACGGCCACCTTAGGCCCCGCGGCTTTCTTCAGGACCCGAAGTTTGGCCCGACGCCCCTGGAGCTTGGCAACCCTGGCTTTTTCGACTTTGCGAATTACGCGCCTACCGTACAAATCATGGCCCAAGTTGCGAAGATGAGCCTTGCTGTGAAACCCTATCATGCGAGCCGACAAGCGAACCTCCTTTTCGGCCGCAGTCGTGCTCGCGAGGAACCCTGACTTGTTTGGCTGCAACAGGAGACCAATCGACGACGACGACGACGACGAAAAGGAGGAGGGTGGAGGATCGGGAGGGGGGGAAGAGGAGGAGGACGACGAGGAGGAACATGACGACAATGGGAGGACGATGATGGAAGGACGAGGGGGGGAGAGGGAGGACGAGGAAGAAGCAGAGGAGGAGGAGGAGGAGGAGGAGGAGGAGGACGAGGTGGAGGAGGAGGACGACGATGACGATGAGAACGAGGACGAGGACGAGGAAGAGGAGGAGGAGTAGGAGGCGGAGGAGGAGGAGGAGGAGGAGAGGAGGAGGAGGAGGAGGAGGAGGAGGAGAGCGCCATCGACAAGGAAGGTGGGGGCCACGAGGTCCGCCGGCTTGACGACGCCCGCGTCGCCCGCGCCCGCCCCCTCACTCTTATCCGCAATTGCGGGGTGCTATATATGTATGCATGCATGTATGTATGTAGGTAGGTAGGTAGGTCGGTCGGTCGGTCGGTAGGTAGGTAGGTAGGTAGGTACGTAGGTAGGTAGGTAGGTAGGTCGGTAGGTAGATAGATAGGTAGGTAGGTATGTGTGTACGTGTGTATGCATGCATGTAAGCATGTATGGATGTATGCCTAGATGTGTGTATGCATATGGCTCTCTGCCTCCTCTATATAAAGTATAGCAGATACTTGCATGTCTACATCTCGCTCTCTACGGCTGCGGCCGCCCGGCCCCCCCGCACGGGGCCGGTCCAGGTGGATGCCGCCGCGCCCCCGCCTGGCGGAACGTTTGTGATCGGAGGAGCGCCGGTCGACCTAGCCATGGGAGGGGAAGACGAGGAGGAGGAGGAGGAGGAGGAGGAGGAGGAGGAGGAGGGCGAAGAGGAGCGAGGAGAGGAGGACGAGGAGGAGGAGGAGGAGGAGGAGGAGGAGGAGGAAGAGCGAGGAGGAGGAGGAGGATGCGGAGAAGGTAGCCTGAGGTCGTATAGCCCGCGGTCGCGAGCTGCAGGCGCGTGGGGAGGGAGAGGGCGCGTGGCAGGGCGGGGCAAGGGTTCCTTGCAGACCTGGCCGGAGGGGTGCTGGCCGACCTGGCAAGGGTCGGGTGTTGCCGGAGGCATCCCTGGCCCAAGGTGTCCCCAGGATTTTCAGGGAAGCCCGGGCGGCCCTAAAGCTCCCCTGTCCAGGCCCAGGGGGCCCCGTGGGCTCCAGAATGGCGCGAAAAGTTGGGTACGCCTTGGGCCGGGAACACCTGTGGCAACACCCGAATTGGAGGAGGAGGGGGAGGAGGAGGAGGAGGAGGAGGAGGAGGAGGAGGAGGAGGAGGAGGAGGAGGAGGAGGAGGAGCGAGGAGCGAGGAGCGAGGAGCGAAGAGCGAGGAGAGAGCATGGGCAACGTCAGGGGTGGGGAACGGCCAAGGGGGAGAGGCATCGATCGGATCGCCCATCCACTGCTGATGGGGTCCCAGGCCCACTCTCCCGCCCAAGGGCTTGCGGTTGCGCTTCCGAGGGGCTCGTCGTCGCCGACCCATCGGCAGCGCATCGCCGATGCTAAGGTTCCCCACCCCGAGCAGTGGCCTCCCCTGCAGCGTTTCACCTCGGGGGCGCCAGCCGACCCGGCAGGAGGGAGGAGCGAGCAGGGAGCCCGGGAGGAGCAGGGACCATGAGATCTGGGCGTTGCGGTCTCCCCAGTGCCGGGCGTGTTTCGCCCAGTGCCGGGCCCCGGGGGATCGGCCTCGTGAGATGCAGCAGGTTGGTGGTGCTGAAGGCCACGGTTGTGATTTGCCACGGTGTTGCATGTTTGTTCGTGGCGTCGGATCTGGGGGGGGGGAGAGGAGGAAGAGCAAGGCCATCGAGGAGAAGACACAAGGAGGTAAGGAGGAGGAGGAGGAGGAGGAAGAGGAAAGACTGAGGAGGAGGAGGAGGAGGAGGAGGAGAGATGGAGGGAGGAGGGATGGAGAGATGGAAGGAGAAGAGATGGAGAGATGGAGAGATGGAGAGTGAAGGGAGGAGGAGGGAGGATGTGGAGGAGGAGGAGCAGGAGGAGCAGGAGGAGGAAGAAGAGGAGGAGAAGGAGGAGGAGGAGGAGGACTGTGAAGAGGTGGCAGTCGAGGCCTGGATGCGCTCCCAGTCTGAGACTCCCCTTCCCCGCGCCATGGCAGCGAGCTGGTAGTCGAGGTCTGCGCCCCGGCAGGCCTTTCAGGGGGAGTGGCGGGCGGAGGGACGGGGACGGGGTAGCGGGAACAAGGACAGGCGGAGGAGAAGGAGGAAGGAAGCAAACGGGTATGGAAAGAACGGGGACGAACGCCAGCAACAGTTCCTACCTATTACGAACAGGACGAAGCCACCGCGGACACTGCCCGTTTGAGACAATAGGTCGCCTGCCCAACAGCGGTTGCGGTCGGTTTTCGACAACATGTGTTGTTGGGCATCGTACTCGCTTGTTGTTCGTATACACTTCGGACGTGCCAGAAGTTCTAATATGGATGATTTGGTATATTGTTTCTAACTCCTTCCCCGCGCCCTGGAAGCTCTTAGAGGGGAGGGCGGGGACGGGACAGGGGGATCGGGAACGTGGACGGAGCAGGGGAAAGGAAGGCAGCAGGAAAGAATAAGGAGGGAGGAGGGAGGAGGGAGGAGGAGGGAGGGAGCAGGAAGGAGGAGGAAAGAGGAGGAGAGAGGAAGGAAGGATCGAGGACTGGGTTCCCCTTGACATCCACTTCCCCGCACCTTTCGGGCGGCACATGCCGCGCAGACGCCGCCGCCGGCGCGGCCGCAGTGCCGGCCGCCGAGGCCGCAGCGGCGGAATCGGCGGTCGACGAGGCCGCGTCGCGGCCATATCTGCTGCGCGGAAGGTTCGGAAGGTGGAGGTCGAAAACGTTTCGCATTTCTGACTGTTCTTTTCGGGCCCCGCACTGGAGCAGGCGAGGATCAGCGAGCTCGTGCCCTCCTTCGGTCGGCCTCCCGCCAGTTGCGTGGTGGGGCTCTGCTTGGGGCCTGCGCGGCTACAGGCCCGGACTGCTTCTGGCTCTCACAACGGGCCCCTTGTGGCCCTTCGTAGCTGGGAGCGTCCCGAGAGGCCTCCTGGGAACGCCCGAGACCCCCCGTGCTATACTGCCCGAGGCCCTTCGTCGCCGTGGGAGTGCCCACCGGCGTGGAGGTCGTCCTCCGCTGTGGCCCCCGGGCCTTCCTCGGACGGAGCTCAACGGACGCATCCAGCTGAACAGACGCATCCTCGTCTCACAGCAGTTTTCGCTTGTGCCAACGATTACACGCCAGACGATCTTATAAGCAAACGTGGCTGCGTGCGGAAAAAATCCTCGGACGAAGCTGGCCCGTTCCAGAGCGCTCTCAGAGCATCCCGGAACGCTCCGAGAAGGCCGCGGCGCCCGAGACATCTTCCTCGGCCGCCGGCTCTCAGGGCTTCTCGATACATCCTCGCCCAGTGTTGCCCTCGCCCTGGCGGCGTCATGCCTCCCAGACAGAGTCCAGGCTCTTCCCTCGCCTCGGGCGTCGAAGCTCTTGGGGTGGCGTGGGCCCCTGGGGATCGATCCCGACTGCGATCCGATCCGATCCGGCAGAGCCCGATTCGGCACGGGCCGAGCCGGATCGGTGACCCCAAGCGATCCGATCCCAATCCGATCCCGTGCCGATTCGGGCGCCACCCCGATCCTGTGCCGATCCGATCCGATTTTGCGATTCGATCAGGGTCAGGGCTGCCCCTCTCCCAGGGGCAGGTCCTCACCCCAGGTTCGTTCCTCGGACGGCACCAGCACCCGAGGCGTCCTTCCAAAGGTCCAGATTGACGCAGTGTGCCCCCTTCCCCAGGGGCCGGCTTTGCATCCTGAGTTGTTTTCTGACGGCCCCAGGGCCCCAAATGCGGCTCCCGAGGACCCGCTTTGGAAAAACGACTCCGTCCCCAGGGCTAGCGCTTCTTCCTGAGTCATTGTTTGACGGCCCCAGGGTTGGGTCCAGAGACCGAACATGTTGAAAACACAGCCGTTCCGATTATTTTGAGACGCCCGAATCCGAGCTCCTGCTGCGGATGGTGAACGTCGCAAGCTCCCTAACCGATGGGAAGAGGACTCCACGATGCTGGAACAGCCAAAAGATACAGCGAGGAAGAGGGAAACGACGACCAGCAGCAGCAGCAGCAGCAGCAGCAGTAACAACAGCAACAACAGCAACAACAACAGCAACAATCATTTTAAGACTGTTCGCTCCTATCTGCTCACTGCCAATCAATACGTATATCCCAAACCCTCGGTACCCGCCCTCGTCGTCTTCGATCGTACCCCTTTGGGGGTATATCTTCCTTACCTGCCACGTGTATTCATTGCAGCCCCTAAAACAAGGGAAGAGAGGACGGAGGGAAGGGGGAGGGAGAAGAATGGAGCACGAGAGAAATTAGCAGGAGGGGGGCAAGGAGCAGAAAACAAGTGTTAGAACCAGACGGGCAGATCGGGTGGGCAGACCCATCGCGGGCAGGTCGGGAAGGCGGGCCCAGGCGACGAGGTCGAGCAGGCGGGTTGCTGAAGCGTGGGGGTCTTGCGTGAAAGGCGGGCAATTTCGAGCCTGTCGGGACCCGCCCGCCCGCTCGACCCGCCTGTCGGGACCTGCCCGCCCGACCAGCTCGTTAATGACTGCGGTCGCCGCTCGCTGCCCTTCGCCTACCTTTGATGCCCTTCGCTGCCCATGTTGGTTCCGCGGTCGGCCTTCGCTCGCTGCCCTTCGTGGCCCCGTTGCTGCCCTCGGTGGCCCCGTCGCTGCCGTTTGTGGCCCCGTACACGAATGCCCTTCGTGGCCCCCGTTCGCACGCGCCCGTCGTGGCTCGCTGCCCTTCGTGGCCCCTTGGCTGCCCTGAGTGGCCCCGCTGTCGCCCTTTGTGGCCCCGTACTCGAATGCCCTTTGTGGCCCCCGCTCGCTCGCGCCCGTCGTGGCCACATATGCATGCCCTTCGTGGCCCCGCTGTCGCCTTTTGTGGCCCCCTCGCTGCCCTTCGTGGCCCCAGTGCTGCTCTCAGCGGCCCCGTCGCTGCCCTCTGTGGCCTCGGATGGGATGCCCTTCGTGGCCCACCCTGGCTTTTCTCACGGAAGGGGCCACCGTGGGCCACGAAGGGCATAAAATCCGAGGCCACAGAGGGCAGCGACGGGGCCGCTGAGGGCAGCACTGGGGCCACGAAGGGCAGCGAGGGGGCCACAAAAGGCGACAGCGGGGCCACGAAGGGCATGCATATGTGGCCACGACGGGCGCGAGCGAGCGGGGGCCACGAAGGGCATTCGTGTACGGGGCCACAAAGGGCGACAGCGGGGCCACTCAGGGCAGCCAAGGGGCCACGAAGGGCAGCGAGCCACGACGGGCGCGTGCGAACGGGGGCCACGAAGTGCATCCGTGTACGGGACCACAAATGGCAGCGACGGGGCCACTGAGGGCAGCAACGGGGCCACGAAGGGCAGCGAGCGAAGGCCGACCGCGGAACCAACACGGGCAGCGAGGGGCATCAAAGGTAGGCGAAGGGCAGCGAGCGGCGACCGCAGTCATTAACGAGCTGGTCGGGCGGGCAGGTCCCGACAGGCGGGTCGAGCGGGCCGGTCGTTGAAGCGTGAGTCCTGCTTGGACCGCCAGGCAATATGTAGCGGGAGCGCGAATTCAATCACAGACGAGGCTCCCCCTGATAGTTCCTCCATGTTCAGGCATGAGGAGGCCAAAAGTGACGACAGTTACAGGATCCGAATGGCCCGCTCGGATTCGTATGATGATCTGCGGGCCCTTTAGGGGGGGGGGCGCCTGAGAGCTCCTCACTATTCACCCACAGACGAGGCTCCCGCCTGATACTTCTTCCATATTTCGGCAGGAGGAGGCCAAAAGTGACGACAGATACAGGATCCGATAACTGAGTGAGTGGCGATGGTGCTGTTGATGATGATGTGTGATGATGATAGTGATGGTGAATTATCGATGGATGATGGTGCTGGTGATGATGAATATCATGGTGATGATGATGATGATGATGATGATGATGATGATGGTGATGATGATGAGTGGTGATGATGATGATGATGATGATGATGATGATGATGATGATGATGATGATGATGATGATGATGATGATGACGAATGCTGGTGGCGCGGTGTTGACAATGACGATGTTGATGGTAATGAGTGAGTGATTGAGTGCGTGAGTGACTGGATGTGGGAATGAACCCCACTTAGGATGAGGAGGGAGTGAGGGTGAGTGGCGAGGAGGGAGAGAGTGGGGGGTGGGTGTGTTCCTGCGCGGGGCGTCCAGAGAAAACAAGAACCCCACTGTGGATGTGGGGAACAACGAAGTCTCGACGGGAACGCTGGTTTTGTTGGGACGGCGGCGTTCGGCGGCGAGGAGGAACACGGCCTTGAGTAGAGGAGGAAGCATCGAGCCGGAGCCGTGTTTTTGTCGGGACGGGGGCTGTCGGCGGCGAGGAACAGCACCGTCTTCAGGAAAAAGGGAGGAAACCTCGAGCGGGAGCGTTGTTTTTGATGGGGGCGGCGCCGCCAATTCAAAAAAGAGTAGGGCGCCAACCCAGCGCAAAACGGAAGGAAGTCTCGAGCGGGAACGTTGGTTTTGTTGGGGCGGCGGCGTTCGGCGGCGAGGAGGAACACCGCCTTGAGCAAAAAAGGAGGAAACCTCGAGAGAGGGAGCCGTGGTTTTGTCGGGGCGGGGGCTGTCGGCGGCGAGGAACAGCACCGTCTCCAGGACAAAGAGGGGAAGCCTCGAACGGGAGCGTTGTTTTTGCTGGGAGCGGCGCCGATTCAAAAGGGAGTTGGGCGCCAGCCCAGCGTAAAAAGAAGGACGTTTCGGGCGGGATTGCTGGTTTTGTCGTGGCGGCGGTTTTCGGCGGCGAGGGGGAGCACCGCCTTGAGTAAAAAAGGGAGGAATCCTCGAGCGGGATCCAGTTTTTGCTGTGGCCGGCGCGGATGAGAGAAAGACTAGCGCGCCAGTCCAAGGTAAAACGGAAGGAAGTGTCGAGCGGTCGCGCTGGTTTTGTTAGGACGGCGGCTTTCGGGGGCGAGCAAGAACACCAACCCTGAGTAAAAAAGGAGGAAGTCTGGAGCAGGAGCGTTGTTGTTGTTGGGGGGCCGGTTTTGGCGGTCCCCCAAACCGCTCGAGCGCGAGCTTCATTGTAGCCGGCGCCTCGGCGAGAGCGCCAGGGCGCCTTTAAGGTGTCCAACAATAATAATTGTTTAGTAATGAACACTCCACAACAGCAGCAGCAGCAACAACAACAACAACAACATCCACAGCAACAGCAGCAGAAGCAACAGCAACAACGACACGACGATCGAGGATTGCCACAGGTGTCCCTGGCCCGAGCTGCACCCAGCTCTCCCGCGCCACTCTGGAGCCGAGTGGGGCCCTGGACCTGCCACGCGAGGGGATCCCCCCCTTGTAGGCCGCCCGGGCCCCCTCTTGATTTTTTGCCGTGCGCGGCCCCAGAACCCCCGAGTTCGTCTCCCCAGGATAGTTTTCATACTTGACGGCCCCAAGGCCCGAGCAGCGGGCCCAAGATGCCGAGATCGAGGAAAAACGCTATCGTCGGACATCTGCGTCTGGCATCACGACGACGAGTCTTGAGATCCGACGCCCCCGAAAAAGCAGCATCGCGACAAACCACCACCGCACCCCTGGACCCCATCCTCTCTAGCCATCCCTCGAACTGGACCGATCTACCAGGGCCGCGGGGGCCCGAAGCTGGGCGAAGACGCCCAGCGCGAAAATAATGCGACGCCCAGATCTCAGACTCCCTGCTCCTCTTTCCCCCGACAAAGAAGCTGCAGGCCGGGACCCTATCGGCGGCGATGAACGGGCGATTGGGGGTCGATGCCGCTCTTCCTTAGCCCCCCCCCCTGACGTAGCCCCTCCTCCCTCCCCCTTCCCCCTGCCACGTCGGGCAGCGCCCCTCTGGCCAGATCGGCCAGCGCCCCCAGAGGCGGAAGCAAGCCCACCTGCCCTGCCGCGCGCCCCTTTCCCACAGCCCCCGCGAAAAAGCACCACCACAGCACTGGACCCCATCCCTCTGAGTCATGCCTCGAGCCGGATCGATCTGCGAGGGCCCCGGGGCCCGAAATTGGGAGGAAACGCCCGGTGCGAAACAATGGCATCTCCTGGGTCTCGGAGAGGCGGAAGCAGAACCGCTTGCCAGCATCACATACGTTATGTAGGTTTTTGAAATGATTCTAGCGTTCTCGCCTTTTTTCGACTCCCGGGGACCCATGATGGCCCAAGCAGCTCCCAAAATAGTTCCTAAACTGCCCAAGAAGCCCCTGGGAGGGCCCCGCTACGGCCCAAGAGGGCCCCAAGATAGCCCACAGACGCCGGCGTAGAGATCACGCTCGGCCCAGCGGGTGCTCCAGCTTCCTGGCCGCCCCCGAGATCCAGGTCGGGGAGCTTCCTCGTGGCCGAGGCTCGCCGTGGTCTGAAAAGCCCCATCGCTCCTCAGCGGGCGTGTGCTGCGTCCCCCTCTGCGCAGGCAGCCCGCCCGGCCGCTGGCTACAGCCGAGGCTGGCAGTAGGGACGATCGACCTCCCAAGGGTACCCTTTGCATCCTTGCCTCTCGGGCCGTCTCTTTCAGGAGGAAAAGAAACACACAGACACAATTAATCGGCGATTCCCAAGAAAATATGGGAAAATATGGGAAGTGGGGGGGAAGACAAAAACGCAGAAAATATGGGAAAATATGGGGATCATTTTTATTTGTGTGTATTTATTTGTGTGTCCTGGGGCCCCTTCACTCTTGTCCATCCTCAGCCACTTTAAGTGGCCAGCCCCGCTCGAAGAGCCTTGGTGTGGGCGTCCAAGGCTCGGCGGCGGGCGGGGGGGGGGAAGCGAGGAGGAGAAGGCCGGGGGACTTCCGAGCCTTCTGAGAAGGCCTTCTCCTTCTCACTTCCCCCCCCCCCCCGCCCGCCGCCGACAGGCCCCCTGCATCCCTGCCGCCCATCCTTGCGATCAGCCTTGACTGTGTGCAGCCTCTGGCCGCCTCAGCCGCGGCCGCGCGCCCGCCCGCAGAGCTCGGCTCGAGCCCGCCCAGCCGGCCGCGGCCGGCACCGCCTCGCGCCCGGCCTCCGCGCGGTGGCGCGGCACCGGCCGGCAGAGGGGCGCGAGGCGCGATGGGGGCCCCAAGAGTATACACCACCACCACGTCGACTCCTCCTCCCTCCTCTGCCCTCCTCTTCCTCTCCCCGTTCCTGGGAGAGGGAGGGGGTGAGGCAAGTGGTGGTGGTGGTGTATACTTTTGGGCCCTCCACGTGAGCGGACGAAAGGCGTCGCCATGGGGGAAGCGGGTCCGGGGGGAAGCGGGTCCTGAGGTTTTTCGCCGTGTTCGGGCTCCCGGTGCCATCCACGGGCCCCGGGACTGTCAAAAAGCCGGTCGGGATGACAGGCTCGTCCTGGGGGAAGGCGCCACGGTCCAGGACCAGTTTCCATCTGGACCCGCTTCCCCCAGGCTAAATGCACGCGCGTGCAGAATCAGGAGGGATGGCGTTTTAGAGCAGCCCTGCTTCTTAGCAGGCGCGGGCCTTGCCTACGGCGCCGTGTAAGAAGCAGCCTCCTTCTAAGAAGCCTTCCCCCCGTTGCGCCACCTGGTGCGCTTGTCCAGGGTCTTCAGAGGAGCAGGAGGTCATTCAGGAGGAAAAGAAACACACAGACACAATTAATCGTCGATTTCCCAGAAAATATTGGAAAATATGGGAAGTGGTGGGGAAGACAGAAACCCAGAATATATATATATATATATATATATATATAAAAAATATAGAGAATATTTTTATTTGTGTGTATTTATTTGTGTGTCCTGGGGCCCCTTCAGTCATGAGAATGATACGTTCCAGGATTTCCAAGGTTTCCCAGATTCCCCATACTTCTTGATGTTCCGCACTGGCTGCGTCGCTAGATGCTTCGGAATATCCTGGAACGCATCCCGAGTCAATCTCATCATGGCATCATTCTCGCCCTACGTCCTATGACTAGGCCTCCCAAGTGTGATCCGGGTTTAAACGGGGTCGGAGGATAGCGCCGCATCGGCGATGCGGCTCGGTGTAGGGCCCGACTTTCTCCACGCCGACTGCGTGGATGCGTCGCCGACGTCTCCGATGCGTCGCCGTTGCAGCGCGATCCTCCGACCCCATCCACTCCGACACTATCCTTTTCGGGCGGCCGGAAAATCTTTACCCGCACGGATAAGTTTCTGGGCCGCCTTGGGACAGTCAAGGGATGGTGTAGCGTCCTGACGTGCGCATAGGCACACCGAATAATGTTTTAGAACTTCTTGTGGTTTGCGCGAAACGTTCTCAGAACCTTTCTGACTGAGACCGTCTTGTTCTAACACATCGTCTCTGTGTGATAAGAACCTTGCTGTTGTTCTAAGATCCACAGGTTGTTCGAAGAATACTTCGTGGTAGGCATATGGGAATGCCGGACGGCCGGTCCCTCCTCAAGACAGTGGACTACACGTGAGTGTGACCCTTCGCCAGAGTGACCTCTGGTGCGGGCCCAGTGGGGTCCCCCGATCGCCGAACGCGAGGCGGCAGGGGCGTCCTGCGCGCCTGTGTTCGGCCCCCGCGCGGCCCCCCAGAAAGAACTGCGCACCAGAGGTCACTCTTTGCCCAGGGTAAGTCTTGCGCGTGGCCGAGGCAGGCGTCCCCGACGGCGGAAGAGCCCGTCTTCGGCGGCGAGCGAGGGGGGGAAGCGAGAAGGACAAGCCCTTCGCAGAAGGCGGCGGGACTGCTCGAAAGCCCCCGCGCCTTTCTGAGTAGTTCCCAATCATCCTGTGGTGTTGGGTCTTCGTTTTGAAGAGACGGCGCCCCGCGTTCCTTCCTTCCCGCCCCCCTCCCCATCCTCCCTCCTCCCCCTCCTTGCCTCTGCTCTCGGCACACCTCTCACACGTTTCGTGGCCCCATAGGGAGCTCCACCGTAGGCCGCAGTGGGGGTGTCCATATGCGGTTCCCCCACCCAGGGCAGCGTTTCGTAGCCCCATAGGGAGCTCCACCGTAGGCCCCTGTGGGG